TTCAGAACCAAGGGGACAATGAGTGACCACCAAGAGTAGGGGTGGAGGTGGAGTTCGTGCCAGGGTCCCTCTGCAGCCTGGGAGTCAATTGAGAAACAACGTGAAGCGTCTATTATGGACACGGACACACACGCACACATGCACGCGTGCGCACACATGCACACACGCACACACAAGTGTGCACACGCTCACATGCGCTCGCAGGCTCACGCACACACGCACACACAAGTGTGCACACGCTCACACGCACTCGCAGGCACGTGCACACATGCACACATGCACACATGCTTGCACACTCACACAGCGTGTAGAAGGAGGCTTCACAGAAGGGGCGGCCCGAGCACCCCTGGCAGAGGCTCCCCATGAGGGAAAGAAGGGCTTGGGAGCTTTGGGCTGGTCACAGACGACAGGAGGTGCAGCGTGCCCGGGGTGCGACCTAGAGGTGCTGGGGGACAGTGGGTGTGAGCGGTGGGCAGGGGTGAGGATGGGCTGAAAGTGAGGCCAGAGGGAGAGATGAGACCGGGAAAGCAGGGGGGACTAACAGAAGTGGAGGTGTCCTTCCCCTGTGGTGACTGTTGGTCTGTAAAGGGGGCGGCAAGAAGAGAGGCTCTCAGGAAAGTGAGGAGGAAGGGGTGGAATCCAGTCTGCACAGAGGAGAGATCCCGCACACCACATAACTCCCCTGAGTCCCCGATCTTCATTACTACAAATGGGACCTGTGACGCAGGGGTGAGGGGCGTGCACAGCTGGGCTCTCCAGGAGCAGAAGGGCAAAGGACGCCTGGACTGCCCTTGCCAGTGTAGCGACCTTGCCATGTGTCGTGGAGGCCCCTGTCTTCCCAGACTCTCCTGGGGTATGGATACCCCTCATCCTGCGGGCGCTGGAGCGTGGCTGGGGAGCCCCATCCCGATGTCATTTTCTTCGTGTGTGCAGTGGTCTGTAGGAGGCTGGAGGCACCTTTCTAGAGGGGCACACACGGGGCATGGGAACATGTGGCAGCAGGGAGCAGCTGGGGACACCTTCCGTGGGCAGCCGGCCCACCCCTGTAGCGTCAGCTGACGCCCACCGTGTCACCCCTGTTTTCTTTTCCCTCTGACGTTGTCACAGCCCCAGAACCCTGCCATAAAGCCACTTACCCTGGTTCAAAGAGAGATGAATAAAATGTGGACAAATACGTATTGTACATTCTTCATAAAACTTTTCATGAGGCTGAGTTGGTTTTTTAAAGACCTGTTATTTGCTTTGAGACCACGTCCTTCCTCCTGGTTTTTTTTTTTTTTTGAAGGGCTCTTCAAAAAGATCGTGGAAAAATGGAATGAAAAGATGAATCTTCCCACGAACTTTTTGAAGTTCACTCATACTTAGGAATGGAATCGAGTATACAGTTGGCCCTCTGTGTCTATGGGTTCCACATCCACGGATTCAATCAACTGCAGATCAAAAATATGCAAAAAAATTTTTAATAAAAAATACCACAATAAAAATACAAATAAGAAACAATACAGTGTAACAACTATTTACATGCCATTTACATTGTTATAAGTCATCTAGAGATGATTTAAAGTGTGCGGGAGGGTCGCAGAGGTTATATGCAAATACTACGTGTGCCATTTTATATA